TTTGTACATTAGAAAATTATATTGGTATCATCTTTATTGTCTCTATTATAATCTCGCTTTCGACATTTTGTTTATTTTAAATGCGGATAATAGAAAAAAACATTTTAAACAAAATATTGATCGACACCAAGGGTATTTGACAAACACAACATTATTACAAAAATATGTTTTATTCGGATTTTTTTAAAAGAAAACTTTCATTTACATTTAACAATAATAATTTCATCGATTAAGACAAGTCGAACGCATACCATACATGTCAAATCATTATTTCTCTTACAGTTGTTAGTGTTAAGGTATACGAATAATTGTAATAATTATGTGAGGATGTATCTCGTCGATGCCTCTTTTACTGATAATTAATTAACTACTTACATTAGTAAAATATACTTAAAAAAAAGAGAGAGAAAAACGTCAGGATTTGCACGTGAGATATCCATCACGTACTTTATTTACTTTTATAAGCCGTATCGATTAATTGACAATTACAAATGCGTTACATAATCCAGACGGTGAACGCTCTCGCGTTTCCGCAACAATCTCGATTTGTCGATGCGACGGACGTACGACGTTATTATCAAAATCTCTCTCTCTCTCTCTCTCTCTCTCTCTCTCTCTCTCTCTCTCTACTTTCCTATATATTTTAAATATTAATATTAAATAATAAACTGAAATCTATATATTAATATTATGACGCACACTTTTACGAAAGAGTATGTAAAATATATAAAATTAAAATTTATAAACATGAAAGTATCCGCTTTTAGCCAATATGTACGTTTTTAATTAAAAAAATATGTTAATTAAAAAATATGGTACCTTTATTTTAATCATATTTATTTTAAATAACGTACGTTGTTGCTCAATGGAAACCGCAAGAAGATGGAAGTCTCTTCCGTCAGGAAGGAAATGTAAAAAATTCTTATTAATATATTAAAAATAAACAATAATTAAAAAATGTAAATAAATCTATAATAATAATTACTTAAAAATAAATAATAATTTAAAAATGTAAATAAATAATATAATATATTATAGGACCGTATTTGTGATAACACAAACTATAGAAATCAAAGCCTTAAACGGTCTAGCTGGATCTTAATGCTTAGGCCTGTTCTTTTTGGCTGAACTTTTGCACC